CCTCCTCTCTCTCTCTCTCTCTCTCTCTCACGATGCGATCGAACCGTTTATCTTATGCACTTTGTAACCGATTGTGAAATTGTCGGCCGGCGTGAATAACGAAATAGGAAAGATAATCGGCGTGCGTGGTGGTAATCGAGGAGAGGTTCGCGCGCGTAATTTCACGAGGAGTTGTGTAAAAAGTGGTGGCGCCGTTGGAAACACGGGCTATAGCTAAGGTTATGGTCGAGATAAACCGGGACTCGTGGACGAGCCGATAAGCGACGTGGACCGTCGCTCCGCGAGGGACGGCTGGCTTCGGGCCCGCTTGGACCGAAGTCGAAACTCGAGCTGCTCTCTAGTCCGTTCCGATCCCCCGCCTCGAGACGACCGCGCGTGCAAAATTTCCTCCTCTTTCGCGCGACACTTTTTCTCGCGAGGAAAATTCTTCTCTCGCCAATTCTCCGCGACTCTTTCCACAACTTTCCGTTTCAGGAAGAGATCACTTTCTCTGTGAGGAAATGGAACGCTACGAGAAACGACGACGACGACGACGACGAAGACGACGATGAGCGACACGAGAACGCGTGAATGAGACTTCCCTCTCCCGTTTCTACGGCAAATAACGGAAACTCGTTATTTATCAACAAGCCATTCGTTCACAACCTCGCCCTCTCCAACCAACTCTCTTTACAAACCACGTTTGTAAACATCGGTAAGAAGCGTTCGGTTTGGGGATACGAACGATACGAGAGAGAAACGAAAGTGATCGTTGGTGATCACAGTTACGGGAGAGATGAGTTGAACCGAGGAGCAAGAGGCTCGCTCTCTCCCGTTGCCGGACAAAGTCATCGGAAGGTGAGAGAAGTAAGAGGCTCTCGACGATCGATCGATCTGCGTCTCTGCTCCGCGACAACGGCGACGAGATTAGGAAGGAACTTTGGACGATCGAGCGATAAAAAGGCGTGGAAAAGCCGATCGGGCGGAGTCGCGCAATATCCGGAACGGAAAGCGCGAGTGGCACGCGCGTGGTAAACTCTTGGAAAGTGGAAAGTGAAAAACGTCGAGGAGTCTCGCGTTGATCGATGCTGAAGGGTAGTAGACGTCCCTCGTGACGCGTTGTTGCATCGAAACGTTGTTGTTGTTGTTGTTGTTGTTGTTGTTCCCGCGACTTATTCCCCCCTCCCCGATTTATACTGGAGCTGTACTTGCCGTACGCACCACTGCCGGGGGGTGGCGGGATCCTCCCGGCGGTGAGCAGCGGGCCCGGCTCGGGCGGGTGTCGTCCCGTGCTGCTGGGTGGCGTCGATCTGTCCATGTCGGCGGCGATGCAACCGGTCGCCACGCTACCCGCGCTGCCGAGTTCCGGCCCGCCGCCGCCGCCGCCGCACAATCCTCTCCACCATACGGGCGGGGGGCTGGCGTTGGGCTCGGCGCCGGTCATGATGCCGCGGCCGCCGACCACCGTTATGCCACCCCTGGGCCCCTCCTTGCCGCCCCCGCACCAGGACGCCGCCGATTTGGCCGAGGCTGCCCCCAACCAGGACGTCCTCCTGGCCCTCCTCGCCAGGAACAAGAACTTGGAAGGTAAGGATTCTTTCTTCTCGCCACCATCCTCGTCGTGCTCTTTCCAATCGAGGTGGATGGTCGAGCGTTGTGTGTTGCTGCGTTTCGAACAATCGTATCTTTTCGATATCACGAATCTCGGTCAATCTTTCGTCCACAGAGATTGGACGAGTTTCGCGAACCGTTCGACACACACGGTTTTCGAGTTACGAATTTGTTATTTATTTTTGCTTACGTCGCTATCCGTAACACGTGCTGCGTTATTATCATCTTCTTTGCGATTCCTCGCGGAAGGAGGTTGAGTTAGGCAACGATGCCTGTGGAGAGTTTGTCGCGGTCCCGATTCGAAGAAACGACGGAAATTGTAGAACGTTGTTGTTGTATAATCGGAATATTACAGATTGTTCGACTATCTGCTCGAAATAAACTATCGAAATTCGTGAAATAGCGTAACGTGTTTCTTAAAATTGTGCAACCGTGTCGACTTATGCAATTTTTAACACGATGTTGGAAGAATTATTACGATCGTTTAGTCTTATTAGAAAATTATTACAAATTGTTATCGTGGAGGAAATGTCGCAATTTTTTCGTAATTTTATAGAAACGTTTAGTTTAGATAAGAGGTTTTAGTAACCTAATAGTTCAGTCGCTATCGCGAGTTCTTGTAATATCGGGTCAAGTTAAAATTTTTGTGCTGTATTACGCGAACAGTAGCGCGATAAGAATGCTCGATCCGAATATTCGATAAGATTAATGTCCAGCTTGAGAACGAATGATCGTTACATTTGGGCCACCTTTGTATCGATCTCGAAATATCCGGTTTTTTTCCTTTATCGAGAAATTTTTCAATTCCTCGAACAGATATCTCGAAAGTATATTCGGTGTTCCTTTGAGATCCTAAAGAAAGGAAAGAACTTTGTTATTTGATTCACGAGAATGTGTGGTTTGCGCGTATCTAATATTTAAATCCACTAATATCGGATGAGTAAATATTAAATAAGATTTCGTGTCGGATAGATGTATTTTTTACGATCATAGTTATTCTTCGCCCTAATTCTTTAAACTTTTCTCCTGCATCTTTTGCACTTGCTCCGCAAAGCAAGTTATCGCGTGTATTATTTATGCGGTCGATTTCGGTGAGTCGAAGAAGGCCGAAGATTTCTTTAATTATGAATGCAACCTATTCAGAGATTCCTTCGTTTCATCGCTACGTCCACAAGTATCCACGTTTTCCAATTCCCAAATAATTTATTACCGAACAATTTGAAAATTAGTTACGTTAAATATTTCGCGCACCATTAATACAATAATAATAATAATAATAATAATAATATCGTATCTTCGAATTAATCACTTTCTTGCTTCCGATATCAAGTTTCAGTTGGAAAAGTATGGAACAATTTTTGCGATATTATTTTTATCGAATCTTAAAGAAAAGGTCTGCCTCGAAATGCCTCTGAAATTGTATTCATGAATGTTTTCGAAGGAAAATCTCTCTCTCTCTTTCTCTCGAGATTTATAATCCCATTATACCTTTAAGCTACATTTAAATCTGGAGAGATTTAAATAGGTTTTTTGACAAAATATTTCTTCGAATAATCGTTTTTCTATTTTCATTTTCTTTTCGATATAAACAAATTCGAGATCGGCGAAACGATCAACGGTCAAGTCGATGGAACGTTTCTTGACGAAGGGATAGGTGTCGGAACTAGTTTGGCGGGCCCCGCGTAAAGGTTTTGTTAAAAGGGCGCGGTGAGGGTGGTGGATATTTTAATAAGGTAAGTGCTGCAAGGCCGGTTGCTATGCCATTGGGGCGGTTTAATCATGTAATGTGTTCGGAGGCTCGGCCACCCCACAATCAATACGGTATTGCTTCGAGCACGATAGCGAATGTGCTTAAATCTAAACCTAAATCTAAACTTAGGCCCAAACAGCGGAACGACCTAAACGCCTGTGCACGCCTGTCGTTAGCCTTCTCCAGCCTTCTCTTGCGCCGAAGTCGCGTTCATTCGCGTTTTCTTTTTTTTTTTTCTACGATTCGAATAAATAATAACCGCGACAAATAATTATTCCATCGAAAATCCTGCAAAAATACGCGAAAGAAGACGGTTTGGCCAGGAAGACGAAAGTGGCGAAAGTGGCGCACCGACAAAGAGTGGAAAGGTCCAATGAGGTTGTCAAGCATCCCTCGAGTAAATAGTAACCATAGGAAACGGAGGTATTCGCGGCGAATGGCAGTCGGATGGATGCCAGGGGTGAAAAGAAAATGGCGGCTGGTTAGAGGGCGCGTGGCGTTCGCGCGCGGAGGAGGGGGTGAGAGTCGGCGGGAAAATGAGGATGAAGAAGGAGCGACGTATCCTTCCCTCCTTGAAGAATCTTGTCTTCGCTTTAAGAATCTCGTCGAGGCTGATGCGCGCGCGCGCGCGCGTGTGTGTGCACGTCTTTTTCGTTTGCAGTCAAAGCCGATGATTGGAAGATTTGGAAGATCGAGAGAGCTTTCCCTCTAAAGGAAGGTTTTCCTTTCGCTTTTCGCCACTTTTTTCTGATCGATGCCTGGACGAGATTTGGAAAATCGTTTGGAAAATATTACAGAAAACGAGGATGGTGTAATTGTCGGTGGAAGGGATGAAAAGGAAAGGGAACGGAGAACGTAGAGGGAATACGAAGCGACGATGGTCGAGGGAAAGGGACGTTAATGGTGGTTTCACCGCGCATCGATTAGAAGCGGTGAGGAAGCGAACGGTAAATTTTCCGACGTAATAAAAAGTTGGCCGCTCCTTTTTCTTCTCTTCGTATAAAAGGAAGGAAGAGCGTTTTCCCACCTACATTTCTCTGCCGGCGAAATGGTGGCGGGCCGGCGAGAAGGGAATTGCTTTCCAAGTCGAAAGTTTTCTGCGGTGGCGGTGGTGGTCTTTCCTATTTTTTTATGGCATCGCCGCACATCTCCGCCCGTGGAAATCCACGGAGAGCGAAGCCCCCCCGGCGGCGCTCTCTATCCCACCCTTTCATTCCTCCCTCCCTCTTCGTTTTCTCCTCACGACTTCGCCTCCCTCCCCGAGTGACCACTCAGCGTGATACATCGGCCCGGTAACGTCGTTAAACACCGGTTATTAACTCGCTACGACCGGTCTTTCCCTCTTTATGAGGAAAAGTTATTGGACGTTGTCGATGCCGGCTTCGAAGATGTATATATCTTTCTTACGACACTTAAGATTCGCTTGATTTCTTTATTTCGGGATCGCGTTTGAATTAATCGCTCGTTTTCGAAAATATTTATTAGATAATCGAATACGTGGTTCGAAGAATATTTCATACTTTTAAATTATATTGAATATATATATATATATATATAATTTGGCAAACACTGGTTCAATCGTTCAATGATAAGATACTTGTGTTTATTATCCGTTTAGATTTAAGATAAGTTTGAAAAAAACAAAAAAAAAAAAATACTAATAGATTATCTATCCGAGAATTATTACAACGCAAAACTCTTACTAAACTCTTATTCGTACTTTCGTCGCACGTCACGAATTTACCGAACGAAAGTGATGATAATGATTCACTTACGGAGAGATCAAGGTTCAGAAAATGATCTAGAAAAATCTTTAGCCAAGTTGGCGAAGGATTTAATTGCAAGGCGTTGGATAAAAGCGCGAGCGGCGATGTAAAGGCGTCGCAACGAATACACATCGTCGAGGATAGGAGTAAAAAGTTAGTATAAAGGTGGTATACGAGGCTGGTTTCCTGTCGCGAGAATTAATGGGACGATAAAACGCCGCGAGGACACGGAGAGAAAAACGAATGGCGTGTAAAGTGGCGTCTGGGAAAGGAGGATCCGCTTCCTTCGGCCACGCGTCAAACGTCCAGGCATCGAGTTACCCCGTCTCACCCTCTGCCCACCCACTTTTTTCCTCACCGATCCAAGTCCAACGATCCATTTCCGGGTTGACGTTTCAAATAGTTCAACGTTTGATCGATAGTTTCTTTTTTCTTTTTTTGAATCCATCTTTCTTTCGGCCTTCCTCTTTTTTTTTTTTTCCTTCCTTTTTTCTTTTTTTTCCTCGATCCTTCGGTATACTCGTGGGATCGTGAAACGTAGGAACGGTGAGTGCGAGTTTTTTGTGTATGTTTTATTGTATTTTTCGTGTTGTCCAACAATGTTAATCGTCGTCTCGTTTGCATGTATGTGTAACGTAACAGAATGGACTACGCGATTCGATTATCTCGATCGACTATTCTCTCGTCGCGACTACTCGTTGCGACGAAGGAACGAAAGGAGTCTCAGAGTGGTCCACTCTGTAATTTCGTTCAATACGACACTGTGTCGAAGAAAAATTATTTTTCTTGTGACGTGAAAGAAGAAAAAAATCTGGTTTGCCAGGTTTATTGGCAAGCGAGCAAAAGTTTTAGTCGATCTCGAAAATCACGATAGATACCATGCATGTTTCGTTCTCGTAAAACGTTTCTCCTTCTTCTATCGATAAGGCGCCGCGACAAGAGTCGACCTCCTTTTCAGAAGCATCCACGCGAGTTGGCACATTTATTACTTACAACGTACGAGATAACGTTATTGTACACTATGATCCACAGCGTGTCATTGATTCGGTCTAAACAGAAACTTCTTCTCCGCGATAAGATTAGAAATTTTGTTCGTCATCGACGCTACGAGAACGCTGAACTTTGATTAAACGGCGTTTAAACAACACCGATTCCTATATAAAAAAATAATCGAAATTTATTTGCACCATTTCAATCTACATGCTATCCAAATCGTAACGTAACAAGACAAATCGTTAATCGTCGATCTTTAATTTCAAAAAAAAAAAAGAAAAGAAAGAAAGAAAAAGAATCGCACAATTATTGAGATCGAGATTTTATTTATCGCGATATAAACGAGATAAAACGCGCAGATAAAACGAAGAGATCTAGATAAGGAAGGAGAGATTTAAAACACTCCAACCGGATTAACAATCCACCTAACCTTCCCTTCTCCTCGCAAATTTATTCGCAAAATTGGAACGAGCCGTGATATAAACGGAAATTTCTCGGAAATTTTTCACTCGGCTGAGAGGAGAGAGAGAGAGAGAGAGAGAGTGAGCGTCTCGTTCTCGAAACGATTCGATCACGAGTTTGGTCGGGCGAGGACGAAACACGGTGTAATCCGAAACGTTTACATCGAAAAGCTGGAGGGGGTTTGGTGGTGGGCGCGTACGTGGGAACGCACGACTCGCTTGTTTTCCTCGTAGGCGGTGGATCCTTTCGGGTTTTGCGGCTCGGTTTTTCAAACCGATGTGTGTACACCGCCGGTTTTTCCGCCGCCACGTGACTCCACGATGAAATTTCGCTCGCCGGTAATCACGTGCATCCCCTCCCTCCCGTGGCCACGCGTCCCCCTATTGTTGCGCGAGTTTACGCGATCGGAGATTAAGTGGCTCTTGATGGGAACGAAAACACCGTTTAAACCGAATAAACTTGCGCCCGTTCACCGTCGTCGACGAAAGTTGGGGCACAAAGTTTTTTCTACGATCGCGACTTGAGCGAGTTGAAAGAATAGATGATTTTTTTAAATTATTATTTTAAATTTAATCGCGTTGTTGTGTCTTTTCTTCCTTTTTTTTTTTTTTCGTTTTTCTTTTCTGTGTGGAACACAGTATAAGAATGATGGTGATATTAAAATTGGGTAAGAAACTCGAGGATGTTGCACAGGTAGGTCCAAGACGAATGAATATTCGCGTTTCTGGTTAAATTATTTATGATCGTGCCTCGGGGAAAAGTGTCGCCGAGCTGACAATGCTCCATAAAAAGGTTATGGTGCCGCCAGAATAAGCTGGCGTATTGTCTCAGCGTTTTTTGAAATCTTACGATAAAACCTCAAACGAGACAGTAAAGAAACCGTATTCGTCGGGATATCAACTGCAGTCGCTTATTTATTTTGTGCGACTACCGAAGAAGATGTTTCAACGCCTTTCTCTTTTTTTTTTTCTTTTATTCATTTTCTTTACCTTTTTCTTTTTATATATATATATTTCGTTTTCAATACTTTTCGTTTTTCCTCCCTCCCTTATCATTTTTCGTCCTTTTTCATATTACGTTTAAATTTGATTTCCTTTAATGAATTTTTAATTTAGTTTATTTTTTTCCTTTTGTTTTAGAACGGAAGATCGAAATACCAAGCTGTTTTCCGATCAAGGAAGAACGTGAGTCTCTTTTTTTAATTTGATATTTCTTTTGATCGATCACGATCCGTTCATTTTTCCTCTCCCTTTTCTCTTTTTTTAATTAAGTTTCTTTCCAACTTTTCCCCCATTTTCATTTATTATCATTTATCTCAACTTTATCATTCACACGTATGATTCATCGATCGATCATACTTCGTTTTACTTGTGAAAGTTTAACAATTTTTTTCAAACATCCTTAAAAAAAAAGAAAGCCAATTGATCCGCGATGATCCCTGGTCAAGCACCGATCCTTTTCCTTTTCGAGTGGCTCGTGTCGAAGTGTGGAGGGTTGGAGAAAGCCTGGAAACATTACGTCCATCGTTCCTATCCCATATGTCGTCGAGGATCGCAGTGTCAAGCACGGCAGTTGGCCGTGCACTCCGTCGCTACAATAGTATTGTTACGCGCGTTTAAAAGGTTGCGTTTCGACTTGTGTTTATCATCGAGCCGATCCTATCGTTCCAAAAGTTTCAAAGCCAGAGTGGTGCCAAGTGGATCCTCCGTGGAAAATGCGGGTGCCTCTGAGTCGACCCCCTCCCCCTCCCTCTTGAACGTTTCCATTCGAAGACGATTATTCGTTCGTTTCACGATTGTCATCGTGAATTTTTCCAAGTAACATCTCTGTCTCTTGCGAGATGAAGAAGAAATCGCTCCCTTTGTTTTCGCGTTTCTTCAAAAAAAACTCGCATAAGTAAAACGGATCGCGGATTGGAAAAATTGAAGTGAGAAGGTGCGAGTGGAAAAAGTGATTTTGGAGTCATTTAGCCGAGGAAGGGGTAACACCTACGATCTTACGTGGTAGAAGGGAAGCCGCGTGTTACGGTGCCGCGTGCATATTCATCGGCGGCACATGGTGGCAGAGGACGGGGCACCAGTTGTTTCGACACGCTCCTGCCACGTGCGGCCCACGTGGCGGCTCGAACGAGCGGATTGTTCATTCCAACGTTTTCCAAGCCAGTATCAACCTGAAAGAACAACGGTGTTGCGTTGCGAACACGTCGTAATGGAAAGTAATTGATAAAACAGGAGGAAACGCGTTGTGGGATTACGAATGATTTCTTTAACCCTTTCTCCATAAGATGTATCGTACGATACGACGGAGTTATCTTTCTCTCGAAACGATATTTCCTTTTTATCGTCAATCTTTTTTTCAATATCGTGGAAGCGACTCGAATCGTAAACGATCTTTCTCGAGCGACGGTTAAAGATCGATCGAAACGCGATATAAATAAAATTGTCCTCGCTTCGAAAAATTTTCTTCTAATCACGTTTTATATTTTAGTTAAGTAAAGTTGCCAGTGTTTATACAAAGACTGTTTCCTCGTAAAAACGGTGGCGGCGTTTTTACGCATCGAATCGATAACGGTGTCCACAACTCCATTAAGATAATTGTGCAGGCGCTTTATTTCTCCTTCCATTTGTTCATCTATCCGCCCCGTGCGCGCTAAGCAGAAAGAAAAGGAAGGGAACAAGCCTACGAGAGCAAGTCTCGAAAGTTGGCTGGCGGAGAGGGCGGTTTGTGTTACGCCATCCGTCTGACCAGCATGGTTTCATTATACTGTCCAGACGGTAAGGCAAGAAGAATCTTCAACCCAACAAACTTGCCTCTCCCTGTTTTCTCAGACGTTTTCTTCCTCGCGTTTGACCATCGTCGTCCGAAAGTAATAACAAAGAAAATGCAATTTTTTTTTTTAATTTCCAGAGAGAAGGCTTTTTAATTTTTTCGCCTCTCGCTTTTTCTTGGGATCTCGAAGGAATGGAAAAAAAGAAAAGTAACGGGAGAGACACGTATAGATATCGTGGCGAAGAATCGGGGGATGGGAACGAAATCTCTTTTCGATCGCGACGAAAAGTCGGTTTGAAAGGACAACGCAGTTGAAATGGTACTCGCGATGAGCACAACGCAATATGCAGTTGTCAAACATAGAAATGAAACGGTATTGTAACGAAAGCAGTGGGGGGGAGAAGCTGGAAACAAAGCGCCTTAGCTGTTAAATAGCTTTTTTTTTTTCTTCTTTTTTTTCGAACAACGTTCTGGCTTACGATGTTCGATCGAGTGGTTGGCTGAAGAGCATTGAACGGGTCACGTGTCGACCCGTGTCCACCGGATGTCACGGTTTTGTCGCATTTAACGCCTCTTCTGCGAACCATTCACTCCGTGGTAAAGCCATGGGCGTTTCCTTTTCCGCCCAAATGATCGACTCGGTTCGACCTCGTGCCACGCGTGAAACCGTCCTCCTTTCTCGCAAAATCTTTGCGATCTTTTAAAATGCGCCATTTTAAAACGCCTCGTCGCGAACAAAACGAAATCGCATTATAATGTCCTTCCTTCGAATAGCGTAGTCCCGTCATCGAATCTATTTAAAAATCGAAATGAATTTAAATATTTTCTTTTTTTTTTTTTTTCGTTTTAAAAGAATCCTATACTCTTCCACGATCTATAAATATCAATTAGAGATGACGTCAATTCGCCTTGTACCAGTTCTCTTCGATGAATTTTAAAACTTGGTGAGTATACGCTGGAAAAGCGTAAGACGAGAGGACGAAAACGGACGAGAAAGGCGAATAAAAAGGCGAAAATGGAATGGAAGAGCGAGAGAGAGAGAGAGAGAAGAACGGTAGAAACGGTACTGGCAACACCATTTTTACGGAAAAACGGATCTTCACGGACGATTACGCGGTGGAGGCATGGGAACTGGGCTACGGGACGTCCCGATTCGCCCATAAATCTACCTGCAATTTGCAATGCATGCCATGGACACCCGCGAGGCATTCCTCTGGAAACGCCGCCCGTCCTTCGTATCGTGTACGTAGGTGTGGCACGCCAAGTATTGTCGCGCAAAACTGTTCTCTGTCCACAATGGTCGGTGACAAAACCGCGAATCGGTGACCGTGATGGATCGCCTCTTTTCTATTATACACTGTCCTGCCACTGAAACTAGGTAAATCCACCCACGAATTATTCGAGTTCCACGTAATTCAATCGATTACCACGTCGAACGTATAATTTGATTCTTCGAATTGTTTCTCCAATACAATCGGATTTTCTTTCGATTTCCCGAACGAACCTTGCATACGTCGCATCGATTATGATAAACGCAAGTTAGCCAACAGGGGAAGGGAGAAGAAGAAGCGGCTGTTATAAGCGTTCGCTCAGAATTCTATTCATCCACGCACGAAGCCCCGCGCGAGCTTTTCATTTCTTTTTTCGCGGGGAGAATTTCTCGAGCTTCCATTCCATTGTTGCTGTTAATAATAATAATCCGGATTACTCGAGTTCTCCACTCTTAATTATACGATCGTTGATACGATCGAACGAATGGAAATAACAAATTGGCAAATTCCTAGGGAAAAAACGATCCTCGATATCGTAATATATATGCGAAAGAAGCGAGAGCACGTCGAAACCTAAAGGAATGCCAGGATCCCCCCCCTCGATACAAAAGAGAAATACGTCCTGCTGACAAGTCGAAAGTCAACGCGCAGAAATCTGTGAAAGAAGAAAAACATATCGTCCCCTAATAGCCCTCATTGACGAGAGGGACGGACTCTTCTGTTTTCATTTCAATTTCTACCCCTTGGAGATCCTTTCTCGAGGCCAGATGGCGTGCGCTCCCGATCTCTCTCTCTCTCTCTCTCTCTCTCTCCTTCCTATCCCGCCTTCTTCCTCTTTCTCTTTGAACGCGCGTGGCGCGCACGGCCGTAGGCTCGTCAAGCCTATGGGTAGGTGGAGAGATCGGAATGATTGAACATGTCAATGTTTGGCTTGGCTTACACCGGCGTGCCTGTAACGTGGTTAACGAATCGGTTTACTTTCCCGCGGCTTAGCTCGCTTTTCCTCGCTCCATTCGTCTCGGAACACGCGTTCTCCGGAAAGAAAGAAAAGCGAAGATTTTATTACTATTTTCCGTTTTTCTTTCTGGAGAAGAAAGATTCTGGAAGAAAAAGTTGGTTAAGCAGCACAGGTTTGATATTACAATGATATACAAGGAATCGAGGCTGTTTCTCGAGGCTGGTCCAATTCAATTATCGGGGTTGTGGCCACGGGATGGGTAGAGGAGGGATGTTTCGAGTGTTTAAATTTAGACGAATGAAATAATAAGATCAAACGGTAAATATCCCCGATGAAAGGCAGCGGATGCAAACAAAACTTTTCAGACGAGGGTGTGCTCGAGCGCGTCGCTTCTGAAAATACATATCGCGATCCTCCCGGGGATCCCCCGCTGCTTCGTATCGATTGTCGACTACTCCTCTGGCCGGCCACCATGCCGTACGAGAGTTTTGGTAAACAGTTATCGCGACGCGCGAATTAATATCGGGCCCGGTTAATTGAAACAGATAACCGAAAATAATAACCGTTTTCGCCACCGATTTCTCTCTCCTCCAATTTGACAACGTATAGAGATACGTGGGTCCCGTGTTTTTCATTTTGAATGAAATATATATGGAAAATTATACGTGATATTAGACGTACTAACGTGTTTTCGCGTTATCGTGTCTCTCTCTCTCTCTTTGTTCGATCTCGTTGTTTTTTTCGGGAGGAAAAATCCCCGGTTTTCGTTGGAAAAAAAACTCTTTCTCTATTCTTTTCGTTCTTTCCATTCGGACTGTTTAACGAGTGGTGATACTTTTTCCTTCTTTTTTTCTTTTTTTGTGGGAATAAAGTAACTGAAATGCTCTTGGCGCTCTTATAGATATTGAATATTATTTGCAACGCTACCATATCTTTTTACACCGATAACAGATCTTTACTCTTCCACAGATAATTTTCTTCCACGGATAATCTGTAATTTTATCGGCCACTTTTTTTCCGTTCTTTCGCCGATTTCTCTATACTATAGATTTTCCAAACTGATAATCGATAATATATATATTTTTTTCTATATATAAAAATACGTTCCACAATCGACAAAAGCCTGTTGCACTCGAGTCCGTAACACCGATATTAACTTCTCTTCGTTTTATCACATTCGAGGCAA